GAAATTCAAGACGGGCTCTCCAGGTACAAAACTTGGCAAGCCCAGGGTGGAAGATTAAAAAGTAGCATGCAGGCCAGGCACGGTAGCTCATGTCTGTAATCCCAGCACTTTGAGAGACGAGGAGGACAGATCACGAGGTCAAGAGATCAATACCATCCTGGCCAACATGGTGAAACCCCATCTGTACTAAAAATACAAAAATTAGCCAGGCATGGTGGCATGTGCCTGTAGTCTCAACTACTCAGTGCTGAGGCAGAAGAATCGCTTGAACCTGGGAGGCAGAGGTTGCAGTGAGTCAAGATCCTGACACTGCACTCCAGCCTGGTGAGAGTGAGACTCCGTCTCAAAAACAAACAAACAACAACAACAACAAAAAAAAAAAACAGTGTGCAGATGTCGGCTATCAGAGCAATCAAACCTGGACCGCCACAGGGTCCTCGCAGGCAGCTGACATGCTGAGGATCTGTTATTCAGGGGAAATTGGGACACAGGTAAGGCTCAGGCGGCCCCTCCATCCTAAGCTCCCTCCACCCTAAACTACTGTTGAGACCCCATAGGAACAGTGACCTTGCAGGAAACTGGAAGAAGTTTACTCACCGTGCAGCTCAGGCAGTCCAAGAGTGGCCTGTGGTGTGCAGGTAGATGGAGTCGGAGAGAGACTGTCAGGGCAACACTACAACGGGCTCGTGGACTGCATCACAAAGACGTCTTGTCCCCTGGTCCCTGGCTGCTCTTCCACACAAATGCCATGCCCTGTGATGGCTGTGAAACCTCCCCTCTCCACTGTTAAAACACATCATTACTTCAGTCTGGCTTTCAGTGTACTGGTGGCTGGGCGTGGTGGCTCACGCCTGTCATCCCAGCACTTTGGGAGGCGGAGGTGGGTGGATCACAAGGTCAGATCAAGACCAGCCTGGCCAACATGGTGAAACCCCGTCTCTACTAAAAATACAAAAAAATTAGCTGGGCGTGGTGGCGCGTGCCTGCAGTCCCAGCTACTCGGGAGGCTGAGGCAGGAGAATTGATTGAACCCAGGAGGCAGAGACTGTCTAACACTTCTGGTAAGAACTTCTCCCAGAACGTGGATCTGCCATGGAGGGCATCAAATAAGGGTGTTGGAGGCAGCTGTGCCCCAGGGGCTGGAAAATGCCAGCACTAATGCCCATGTGTGGCATCTGGGCCTAAGTTCCAATTCTGCCCACAGCCCTGAGGCACTGGGGACACGGTGTGTGTTCTCAGCTCCTTGGCTCTCCTCTGCTGCCTGCACAATGGCGGAGATGTGATACCTGCTCAGGCAGTGGCTGGAAGTCAACAGGCGGCTGGCCTATGCAAACGGGGCAGCCACAGAGGCAGAATAAAGATGGGGGAGGAATTGAGGAGCCAGCAAAGAATGGTGGGAGCTAGCGGGGAGGAGCGGGAGTGGGAGGCCATTGCCGCGCTAAGGCTGCAGGACCCAGAGGAGGATCTGCTTGGAGACCAGCGAGAGCTGTGACCCAGGACACCTGCTGTGACTACAAGTAAAAAAGCACAACCCCTACCACACCTCAGCCCAGCAAGGAGGGAATCCAGGAAGCAAATGCTCCAGTGCCATCCTCTGGCAACCAGGTATCATGCCACTGCCCTCTGCCGGCCAAACCCAGCGGGAGGGCAGAGGACTCAGGAGCTGGGACATCTGTAGGCTGAGCCTCCAGGACACAGAGCATCTAGGCAAAGGACAGATTGGAGACTCACGCGGACTCACCGGCAGTGATGGGCTGTGTAATGCACCCCATAAAACATGCCCACATTCGAATCCCCAGAGCCTGTGGATAGGTTACTTTCTAAGCAAAGGAATTTTGCAGCTGTGATTATATTAAGGGCCTTGAGGTGGGGAGATGAGCCTCTATAAACCAGCAGGCGGGGACAATGTAAGCAGATGGGTCCTTATCAGAGGGAGACAGGAGGGTCAGGACCTGCAGAAGCCTCGTGATGACGGAAGCAGAGGGACGCAGAGTGGAAGATGCTACGTTGCTGCCTTTGAAGGGGCCACGTGACAAGGAATCCAGGCAGCCTCTAAAAGCTGAAAAAGCCAGGAAAGAAAATGGACTCTCCGCTCCAGCCTCTGGAAGGAACACTGCCCTGCCAACCTAGTTTAGAATCCCTGACCTTGTGAACAGTAAGAGAATACTGGTGTGTTGTTTTCAGCCATAAATTTTGCCATAATTTGCTGCAGCCACCATGGGAAATGATTACCCCTGCACAATGCCCTGGGAAGGGGTGTCTCTTGGGCCACTAAGCCCCTTACTACTGACCCAAAGGACTCCCTGGTCTCAGGGTCTCTGGCAACTCCAGAGGTCAGAATGGTGGCTCCTCCCTGGGAGCAAATGCCTTGATTAACCAGTAATGATTCCTGAGGACACGCCAGGCCAAACGGGGGCGGTGGGGGGGACGCCTGCAAAACCCCACAGGTTCTTCTCATGCTGATCCTTCCAGCTGCTCCCAAACAAAGGCAATTGGCATGCCCCAGGCTGCTGCCTGATACAAGTTTCACGTTTTCTCCTTTGTTAAAAAATGCATCATATCCACGTGTGAAGCATCTGGTGTAGGAGGCAGCAGTGTAGCTTTTTTAAAAAAAAAAGAGTGTGGTGGCTCATGCCTGTAATCCCAGCACTTTGGGGGGCCGAGGCAGGCGGATCATGAGGTCAGGAGTTCGAGACCAGCCTGCCCAACATGGTAAAACCCCGTCTCTACTAAAAATACAAAAATGAGCTGTGAGTGGTGGCAGGCACCTGTAATTCCAGCTACTCAGGAGGCTGAAGCAGGAGAATCACTTGAACCCAGGGAGCTGAGGTTGCAGTGAGCTAAGATTGTGCCACTGCACTCCAGCCTGCCCCAGTGCGAGACTCTGTCTCAAAAAAAAATAGAAGCCCCAGCCCAGACACCTGGAAACCTGATGCTAATCCTAGATCTACTGCCCCTCTCTAAGCCTCAATTTCCCCATCTGTACAAAGGGTTGGGACTGAGTTGCCTCCGAGGACCTAGTTTGTTGGCAGCCTCATTCCGTGGTTCTAAAGGCCTTCTTCCCTGTCCACAGCTTGCCTGACCTGGTGACCTGCAGCCGTCAGTGACAGTCAGGGCTGATGGAAAACCGCCAGATCTGGAGCCCAAAGCTGCCATCTCCTGCCCCGGGGACCTGTTTGCTTGTTCTCTGCTGCCCCCTGCTTGCAACTTGAAAACAAAGCTTTCTGGCTGGATCTAGAGGAAAGAAACCCTTGAGAGAGAGGCCCTGCAGCCTATTACAACCGCCCGCCCAGACCTGGCCAGCCAGGCCCTTGCTTTAGGCTGGGTTTCAGGGAGCAGAAAGAGGCCCAGGCAGCAACTAGAGCCCTGGATGGGGAGGCTGCCTGCATCTCTCCTGACGTCTGCATCCCACCTCCTCTGCTGGAGGAAGATGGGGTTTGGGATGCAGCAGTTTCTGAACAGTGGTTCTGTGGGCCCAGCTCTGCCTTTGGAGGATCATAACACTAGGACAGGGGTCCCTGTGCACCCTCTCTCCAGCCTATCTCCCACCACATGCTATGGGCACCCTGGTTTCTATCCCCTTTTTCCTGTTTTCAAACATCCAAAGGCATCAGAAGGGGAGATGTCCACACAGGATGAGCCAGACAGGACCAAGCAGGAGCCAGGGCTGGATTCGGACCGCCCTCCTACCAGGGAGCCCACAGGCCACGTTCCCGCCACAAATGAGGGGGGACTGTTGCTGCTCATCCCCAAGAGAAAGGGCAGCTGGTAGGACAGCTACATACAGAAAATGGACAGGGCCAGAAATACCCTCATTCTGGTGGCCCAGGGGTCACGAAATTGGAACCACAGAGAAAACCATGCAGTGGAGGCATCACGCTAGGCCCTGCGGAAAAACACGTACACGGCCACAGTCACGCAAATGCTGTTTATTGATTTTCAGATTTTAGAGTCAACCTGTGGACAAAGCACAGAAGACTTAGTTTTGCTTACAGAGCAGAAAATGGATGTTAACAGGGGTGATGGAAAAGTAAAGTACATCAGAACTTTGGGGATGCAGTTAGTGCTGGGGAACCCCTGCTGGGTGGAGACAAGCTCTGGGGCAGAAGAGAAGACCAGGAAGGCCTTGGCAGTTGACTACGTGGTGCTGGGCCGGATACTTCGTCACCACCTGCCCCACTCCAGGCACCTGGATGGTGCTAGAGGATGTCACCAGTGTGACAGCACCTCCTCCTACTCTTCCTTCTTTAGGGAGGATCAAGAGGAGGGAAGGAGTGGGAAGGGAAGATTCCAGCACTGCCATGCTCAGCAGACACAGGAGGTCACCAGCCTGAGGAAGGCAGTGGGGTTTGGACACTAGACTAAATTGAAGATCAGCTAAAACAGGGGCAAGTGAAGCAGCTTTCCATAAGACATGCCAACCAGGTGCCATGTCAGTTTCCCATTGCCATGGTGACACCCTGGCATTTCCACCCTTTTTTGTGGCAATGACCCCAGGACCCAGAAGTTACTTCTTCCCCAGAATTTTTTTTTTTTTTTTTGAGACAGAGTCTCGCTCTGTCACCCAGGCTGGAGTGCACTGGCACAATCTCGGCTCACTGCAACCTCCACCTCCCAGGTTCAAGCGATTCTTCTGCCTCAGCCTTCCTAGTAGCTAGGATTACAGGCACACGCCACCACACCGAGCTAATTTTTGTATTTTTAGTAGAGACAAGATTTCGCCATGTTGGCCAAGCTGGTCTTGATCTCTTGACCTCATGACCCACCCGCCTTGGCCTCCCAAAGTGTTGGTATTACAGGCGTGAGACACTGCACCCAGTGCCCCTAGAAATTGTTGTTTAAACTGCTCCTTAATCTACATGTAATTAAAAGTGGGTATAAATCTGACTGCAGAACTGCCCTGAACTGCCACTCTCTGCTTTTATGGGGTAGCCCTTCTCTACAGGGTCAGTCATGAAGCTGTAACACTGCAGCTTCAAGACAGCTATATTTTTTTTACTTTCTTTTCTTTTTTTTTTTTTCTTTTTTGAGATGAAGTTTCACTCTTGTTGCCCAGGCTGGAGTACAATGATGCCATCTCAGCTCACTGCAACCTCTGCCTCCCTAGTTCAAGTTATTCTCCTGGCTCAGCCTCCTGAGTAGCTGGAATTACAGGCACATGCCACCACACCCACCTAATTTTTTGTATATTTAGTAGAAATGGGGTTTCACCATGTTGGCCACGCTGGTGTCAAACTCCTGACCTCAGGTGATCTGCCCACCTCAGCCTCCCAAAGTGCTGGGATTACAGGCGTGAGCCACCACTCCCGGCCACAGCTGTTTTCTTCTGCCCTACCAGTGGCTTGCCCGTGAAATCTCTCCTGGGGGAAGCCAAGAACCCACTCAGGCTAAGCTCCAGTTTTGGGGCTTGCTCACCCTACATCAAGACCCATTAAAGTCAGTGGGATTCTAGAGAGTTCTAGGTGTCCTGCATAAAGTTGCAAAACTAACCAAGAAATGACCCGCAAATGTAACTATCCAAAATGGGGAGACAGGGAGGGGTAGCAGGGATGAGAAAGGATCAGAGCATCAGATCCTCATTTGTCATTGACACGGGGTAAAATCAACAGGTGGAGAAACTGGTTTAAACAGATTACTTGGAAATAGAGAAAACTACCAGAAGAACAAAAAACAGTGTCAGTTAAAACCATGGCACGGAAAGAATGGGACGGGTAGGGGAGAAAACCACTTTTATTCATTCGTAAGTTCTTCTGTGCCCTTTGGATTTTTTTTTTTTTTTACCATAGGCGTGTCTGATTTTGATTTCAAAGATTAATTTTAAATTTCAAAACACAACACCACAATCCTGGTCAATTGAGCCAGAAGTGACTGGGCCACTTGCTCCCTGCCTGGGTGCCAGGCTGGCCGTGGGCCTCAGGGGGTCAGTGCTGCAGTGGGTGCCCTGGGGACAGGGATGGCTCTGCAGGTGACTCTGCAGGTGGCTCTGTGGATGACCCTGCAGGCGGCTCAGCGGGAGGCTCTGTGGATGACCCTGCAGGCGGCTCAGCGGGTGGCTCTGTGGATGACTCTGCAGGTGGCTCTGCGGGAGGCTTCGTGGCCCCCTGGCTCAGCATGTTGCGGCAGCGCAGCCGCTCCTCCTCCTCCTTCTCCGCCATGCGGTTCTCCAGCAGCCTTAGCTCCCTGCGCACTGCCTTCTGCATGGACGGCTCCAGCTCCAGCACTTTCTGGAGGTCTGCCTTGGCCTCGGCCTCGTTCCACACCTCCACGTGAGCCCGGGCACGCACATAGTAGGCCTTCACAATGCCTGTGGGGAGCATACAGCTGCAGCCCCCCTGCCCAGCCTCAGAGGCAGCCCCCGCCCAGCTGGGACTCACCAGCCTACAAGACCCTTAGCCGCGTCGTGATCCTTAAACTCTCTGTACCCCCCGTGCTTCGGTTTCCCCAACTGTAAGATGAAGATGATGATCATAATAGCAGTACCTCCTCCTCTCCTTTTCAAGGCCCTGTGATTGACTTTATATTCTTAACTTTGTTTTCTTTTTCTTATAGACACTCCCTAAATTAGATAACCTTCAGGCCCTTTCCCTGCACCTCCCCCATATGGTGATTACGAGGATTATGAGGATTAAATGAGATAATCAACGCAGAGGACTTGTGCCTGATGGATGAGCGAAGTTCTGGATGTTGTTATTGTGAGCGCTGTCGGAGTGTTAAGTCAATACTAGTGCCAGCGGCCCCGTATCCTCACACCACCTGTACTAGTATCGACATAATATTTTTATCTATATTGATTGCCCCTCTTTTTTAAAAGCCTATTTACTGTTCCACTGAAATCACAAGTTTGGTGAGTTTCCTTGGTAAGCGTTCAAATACACATTAAAACAAAAGGCCCCACACCAAGCACGGCCCATCGATCACCCAAGATTCAGTAACACGCTCTGGGAAACCCGGCAGAGCGGAGGCAAAGTTCGGTGCCCTGGTGGGGTGGAAAGGAAAGTCCAGGGAGGTTGTGACAGGTGTCTCTGTGGCCCTGGGCTGGGCGCCCCTTTGCTGCCCACCCCTCCAGCCCTGCGCACCTGGGTGGTGCCGGAGAATGTCACTGGTGTGCTCCAGCACCTCATAGTACTCCTCCTTCTTCAGCAGGCACTGGCAGTAGTTGAGGATCAGGGTATTAATCATCTTCTCCAGCTTCAGCCACTGTACCTCCCAGGGTTTCTCCTGCCCAGAAAGAAGGTCAGCCTTGACCTCAGGCTGCTGCTTGACCCTCGCCCCACCCTGGCCAGCACTGGGCAGGTCCCCCAGAGTCAGCCCCACTTCCCACCCCCTGCCAACAGCCTCCCACCTTGGTCTGCAGGTTCCTTAGGCAGATGATGGCCTCCTGGTACTTGGACGAGGCCTCCTCATAGCGGCCCAGCTTGAAGAGCCGATTTCCTTCTCCATGGAGGACGGGCACCACCTTCATCTTCTCGTGATTGCTCAGGTTCCAGGTCTCCCTCTGGTAATCACTCGGGGCGTCAACCTGGCCCCAGAGCTGCAGGTCATTGAGGAAGGAACCCCGGGGGCCTCACCCCAGCAGGGACCAGAGAAAGTGGGCCCTGGCATGTCTCCCTGAAGTCATGCTTGCTGGTCAATTGCATACAGACAAGGGAAAGAAGCAACAAGGCCAAAAACCCTGCCCTAAATCAGTGCCTTTGTGCACACAAGGAAAAGGTGCCCGTTCTTCAAGACACTTCACTTCTAATATTCAGAAAATTGTTGCCAGGCGCAGTGACTCACGCCTGTAATCCCAGCACTTTGGGAGGCCAAGGTGGATGGATCACGAAGTCAGGAGATTGAGATCATCCTGGCTAACACAGTAAAATACCATCTTTACTAAAAAGACAAACAATTAGCTGGCAATGATGGCACGTGCCTGTAATCCCAGCTACTCGGGAAGCTGAGGCAGGAGAATCACTTGAACCTGGGAGGTGTAGGTTGCAGTGAGCTGAGATCGCGCCATTGCACTCCAGCCTGGGCAACGGTGAGACTCCGTCTCAAAAAAAAAAAAGGAAAAAAAAATTGTCAGGAATACTTGTTTTGTTAGAACAATGCACTGTTGCCATCTGCTGGAAAATGGTCATTATAGCAATACCAATATACAAGGTCTATAATGAGCACCTTGGAGGAGATGCCGGTACACCTTGCGCAGTGCACAGACCACACAGCTGACTGTGACAGTAAGCCTGTAAAGGCCCTACAGTGACACAGTTCTCATTTTATTTTTATTCACCCACATAGCTCTCAGGCTGAGCCTCGTTTTTGGCCATAGCTGAGTCCCAACGTGACCTTGATCCTGGCCATAACCTTCTCCCACCAATCCACAAACATGGTCTGTCAGTCACTCTGGGGCTCTAGGTGGAAGGATGTGGGGAGTTCCATGCAGCCTCTCCCACTACTTGAGAACCAAATCTGAATCCACAAACCACAGGAAGGAGGAGGTTATAATCTTAAACTCTTGGGAAAAAAAGTGAAAGTGGATAATCAATAGACACAGTGGCTCACACCTGTAATCCCAGCACTTTGGGAGGCCAACACAGATGGATCACCTGAGTTCAGGGGTTTGAGATCAGCCTGACCAGCATGGAGAAACCCCATCTCTACTAAACCTACAAAATTAGCCAGGTGTGGTAGCGGACACCTGTAATACCAGCTACTCGGGAGGCTGAGGCAGAATCTATTGAACCTGGGAGGCAGCGGTTGTGATGAGCCAAGATTGCGCCATTGCACTGGAGTAAAATACCTCCAAAATGAAAATGAGTCACATTTTTAAAAATGGGCTCCAAACGGACTTTTCTTTTTTTTTTTTTTTTTTTCTTTTTTAGTGACAGTCTCACTCTGTCACCCTGGCTGGAGTGCAATGGCGCGATCTTGGCTCACTGCAACTTCCACCTTCCAGGTTCAAGCAATTCTCGTGCCTCAACCTCCTGAGTAGCTAGGATTACAGGCATGCACCACCATGCCGGGTTAATTTTTGTACTTTTAATAGAGACTGGGTTTCACCATGTTGGCCAGGCTGGTCTCGAACTCCTGACCTCAAGTGATCCACCACCTTGGCCTCCCAAAGTGCTGGGATTACAGGCATGAGCCACCATGCCCAGCACCAAATGGACTTTTTGAATGGAAAAAGCAGAGGTCTTTTTTTTTTCCAAGTTCATATTCCCCTGTGGTTTATGAACACTTTCTGATTCTCTAAAGAGAAATAGGGCACTGTCCAGTGGTCAGTGGGATAGGGGGTGCCCGTGATGCCCGCTGTCCCTCTCTGGTGCTGGCACAGCCCTCCAGCCCTGCCTACCCCGAGCCCCACCTGCAGCAGCTCAATCACAAAGATCAGAGGCTGAGGCTCCTTCTGCAGCTCATCCAGGTCCTCATAGCCCAGTGTGTGGTAGGCGAACATGTTGGCCAGCCCGCACGTGTGCACGTGCCACTCCGTCGGGTCCTTGCCCTGGGCCATCTGCCGCAGGCTCCGGGACAGGATGGGGTAGACCCCTGTGTGCTGGGGAGAGAAACAGATGGCATCTGGGCTACCTGCTGAGAGCTAGGTGGGCCACAAAAGGCCTCCACTCAGAGCCCCTCCTGGCAGGAATCCTGCCACCTCACTATGCCACTAATGCTAACTGTGATTCACTGTGTGCCAGGCAAAGCACTTTACACCATCATGAGCTCCTTTAATCCTTATGACAATTGAAGGCAGGCATTATTATACCCACTTTACGGATGAGGAAACCACAGCCCAGAGAGGCAAAGCAACTTACTTACGGTCACACAGCTAGGAAATATGCAGTCAGGATTCAAACCTGGCCCAGAGACCATATGCTCTTAGCCTCTGGCTACCTCTTCTGGCCCTTGTGGTCCACTGCAACACATCTCTGCCCCAAGGAAACTCTGAGCTCTGTGAAGCCTATGACTGACAGGAAGGGCAGTGTGGCACAGTGGAAGGAGCAGGCCTCCAGGGTCCGAGAGTCACTTTGGTGTCCTGGAACTGCTGCAGATTAGCAGTGAGCCCGGGTCTCTGTACTTCTCTGAAGCTCACTTCCCTGGGTTGCTCCTGTCTGGTATTAGGGCTGCTGTAGGGACTAAATGAGATGGTGCAGATATGGGTCTGGCTCATCACAGCCTCAGCCAGAATGGGAGCTTGAGGTCGCCACTCTTGGGATGAAGAGGGGCTGGGAAAATCAGCTGTGCAGCCTTAGCGAGTCATGCCGTATGTATGCTGGGCCTCAATTTCCCCAACTAGGCTCTCTGAGAACCCATCTCCTTGGACTGGCTTCTGAGATGACCCAGTTCTGGCCCCACATGCAACATGTTGTTGGGAAGAGAAGCGGATGAAACTCCGTGCAGCAGTTCAGCTCTGCCTCCAGGTCACCAGCAGAGACAGAGGTCACCCCACCCATCGCACCACCAGCTGGGATTAGCCCGAAATGCCTCTGCCTCTTCGTGGAAGAGACGAGCAGATGGCTGTTGAGCCTGTTGGGATTAGAGCTGCACCAAGGGAGGGAGAGCCTCAGAACCAGCTTGCTGCAGGGAGGGAGCACCCCAGCCCTGACTCAGCAGCCCGTAGCTCGGCACCCCATGGCTCCAAGCAAGCTGAGCGTGCTTTTGTGGTCCCAAAGCACACTGCCCTCGCTTATCTATGTTGTGGCACTGGCTACCCTGCATTACAGTTGTTTAGGTGTGTGCTCCTCCAGAATTCAAGTTCCTTATGGGCTAGAAGCTTCACTTGTTTCATTCCTAACATACAGCACAGGCCAAAGGAGGTGCCCAGTGAATGTTTTCTAATTAGATATAGATAGATAGATAGATAGATAGATAGATAGATAGATAGATGATAGATAGATAGATAGATGAATGACAGGAGATGGATAGGAGATGATGGATGCATGCATAGTGATGAAAGACTGGATTATGAATGAAGATTGAAGGGAAGAATGGATGAATTGATGCCTGGGCAAGCAGGTGGATGGATAAGAGGTGGGCGTGCAGGTGAAGAAATAACTCTAGAAGGGGTGTGTGGGGGGGGGGGGCGTGTATGTGTATGTGCACAATCATGGCAGCCATGGGCTGGGGTAAGGAGATGGGAGGGATGTGGAGATTGGGAAAACCTATAGTTACTATGGTATAACAGTTACCAGCTGGGCACAGTGGCTCATGCCTATAATCCCAGCACTTTGAGAGGTCAAGGGGGCAGATCACCTGAGGTCAAGCATTTGAGACCAGCCTGGCCAATGTGGTGAAACCCTGTCTCTACTAAAAATACAAAAAAAAAAAAAATTAGCCAGGCATGATGGTGGGCACCAGTAATCCCAGCTACTCAGGAGGCTGAGGCAGGAGAATCACTTGACCCCAGGAGGCAGAGGTGACAGTGAGCCAAGATCACACCATTGCACTCCAGCCTGGGCAACAAGAGGGAAACTCCTTCTCAAAAAAAAAAAGTTCAGCCTGTGATAAGAGCAGTGCACTCATGTGACTATCAATGTGGACAAAGGAACACACACTCCACAGGAAACAAAAAGCCATGCCCATGTTATGGGAATGACCACAGCTTGTGGTTTTGCAAACAACAAATCAATCATCTAATCAAGAATTTATTGACAGCCTTCTATGCACTCAGCTGTCATGTGTTAATGAACATGTATCCTATGAAGAGGGGGTTCTTGGTGGCAGCCAGGCCTTGCCTCTCATATGGCGTGAATTGAAGTACAGGAGTCCCTCACTCTAAGCAAAGTCAATAGATATATTTTTAAACTCACTAAAATCACAAAGAAGCCAATTTTCTGAAGCCTTGACCTGATAAAAATAAAACAGATTTTAAGTTAAAAACATCAGAAGGAAGAAAAACACTGGGACTGTTAACAAAGGAAAGATGTTCAACAAACATGTGCTACATGAGTGAAGAAATGAATAACATGTAGGGTGGGATCACCTACTGGCAGAGGATGGTACTGCAGCCCAACTCTATTAGACATTGTGAGAAACACGTGCAGGATGAAGAGGGAATCATGTGTCTCACCCAGATCTTTTCTCTTAACCTGTTTGAGCCATTACAAGTTTTCCTTTTTTTGGAGTCTTAAGTTTTCTCATTAGTAAAGTGAAGAAGTTAATCTCAAAATGTTTTCCAGGCTGGGCACTGTGGCTCACGCCTATAATTCCAGCACTTTGGGAGGACGAGGTGGGTAGATCACCTGAGGTCAAGCCTAGTCCAACATGATGAAACCCCATCTCTACTAAAAATACAAAATAAAATTAGCTGGGTGTGGTCGTGGGCATCTGTAATCCCATTTACTCAGGAGGCTGAGGCAGGAGAATCGTTTGAACCTGGGAGGCACAGGTTCCAGTGAGCAGAGATTGTGTCACTGCACTCTAGCCTGGGTGACAGAGTAAAGCTCCGCCTTGGGGAAAAAAAATTCTAGCTCAAAATAATAGCTCTAAGTTTTAATTGCCCTCATATGTTATATCATTTAATCTCCAAAACAACTCCTTAACTTAGAGTTTTGTTTATTTATAAATGAAGGAATAGAGTAGCATGCAGAAGAAGGGACTTCCCCAGATCACACAACTAATAAAAGACAGAACAGGTTCAAACTGTCCCCGAAATGCTCACTTAAAAGGTCAGTGGCCTCTGATGAAATAATGAGACTGGGTATCTGCCATCAATGGTGAAAGTCTAGGGGCAGCTTTGGAATGGATGGATCAGGCTCTCAACACCCACACTCACCAATCACTCTTAACATCACCGTAAGACAGACAAGTAGGTGTCATGGACTTCTCTCAAAGGGAAGTGTATGCTATCATCCATAGCAGATTTTTTTAAAAAGAGAGAGAGAAAAAATCTGAATTTTATCAAGTCCTCTAGACTCAGCTTTCAATTTATCAAAAACATGGGGAATAAAGGAACATGTTAGACAATTTCATGGCAACGTACCAGGAAAATCAGAATGTGGGACTTGTACAGGATAAATGACCCCATTCCTTCAACATATCCATGTCAAGGAAGAATAGAAGAAAGGAAGGTGAACGTATAGATAAAAATAGACTTGAGAGACACATCAACAAAGCACTATGTGGGGACTTTGTTTGGTTGTTGATTTAAACAAACCAAACTCATTCATTTATAAAGAATAAAAGAGGAGTCAACCAGAGAAAATTTAACAGTGACTGGATATTAGACAGCTTTAAGGAATTACTGGAGTTTTTAAAAGATTTCATAATGATGTCATGGTCAAGTTTTTTTAATATCCTCATATCTGGCCAGGTGCAGTGGCTCACACCTGTAATCCCAGCACTCTGGGAGGCCAAGGTGGGTGGATCACGAGGTCAGCAGTTCGAGACCAGCTTGGCCAACATAATGAAACCCCGTCTCTACTAAAAATACAAAAATTAGCCAGGCATGGTGTGCCTGTAGTCCCAGGTACTCGGAAGGCTGAGGCAGGAGAATCACTTGAACCCGGGAGATGGAGGAATGCACCACTGCATTCCAGCCTGGATGACAGAGCAAGAGTTTGTCTCAAAAAAAATCCTCATATTTTAGAGATACAAATTTTAGTATTTACAGATGAAGTGATGTGCTCCCTGGCTTTTACTTTAACCATGCGGGACAAAGAAGGGAAGTGGGTGGGGTGGAAGACGAAGCAAGACCAGCCGTGGGTTGATGGTGGCTGGCACTGGGTTCTTAGAAGTGCATTATACTTTCTGTTGACTTTTGTTTTTGTTTGAAAGTTCCCATAAGAAACATTGCCTAAAGGTCAGTGGGTGTGCCATAAGGCAAGGAAGCTAACTTATAAGAGTAACTTATGCAGTGCCATAAATAGAGAGGGGAAACTTGCAACGTGAGGAAGAGGGCAAAAAAGTGACCAATGCTGGTCTAATCATACTCTATAACAAAGTCCCCAGATCTAGCTCAGGCACAGAGGCTCTCACCTGTAATCCCAGCACTTTGGGAGGCCGAGGCGGGTGGATCACGAGGTCAAGAGATAGATTGAGACCGTCCTGGCCAACATGGTGAAACCTCTCTCTACTAAAAATACAAAAATTAGCTGGGTGTGGTGGTACACGCCTGTAATCCCAGCTACTCTGGAGGCGGAGGCAGAAGAATCGCTTGAACTAGGCAGGCGGAGGTTGCAGTGAGCTGAGATCGTGCCACTGCACTCCAGCCTGGGTGTCAGAGTGAGACTCTGTCTCAAAAAATAATAATAATAATAATCTCCAGGTTGAATCACACTGTATGAAAAGCAAGGACTGGGTGAGGCATGATGGCTCACGCCTATAATTCCAGCACTTTGGGAGGCCCAGTTGGAAGGATTGCTTAAGCCCAAGAGTTCAGAACCAGCCTGGCCAACATGGAAAAACTCTGTCTCTACAAAATATACAAAAATCAGGCGTGGTGGCGTGCTACTTGGAGGCTGAGGTAGGAGGATCACCTGAGCCCGGGAAGTTGAGGGCTGCAGTGCACACACACACACACACACACACACACACACACACACGTGAGGACTGTGAAGCAGCCGGCTCCCTCCTGCTGGGCATAGCCCTGCTCCCACACCCCACCAGCCAGCCATGGCCCAGGCTGCCCCTTCCAGGCCTTGTTCCCTCCATCTTCGCACGCACAGCAATGGGGAATGAGGTTGCAGGATTGGCTTTTCAGGGCTTTGTTTCAGTCCCAGCTTTCCCCAAACACAGCAGCTCCCCCAAGCAGGTGGGTGAGCCCGGAAGAGACCAGCCCCAGAGAACTGGGCGCAGGGCCTACTTACGATGGTGTCGCACCAGAACTCGGCCACCTCGTGCACCCGCATGGAGGTGAGCAGGATCTCCCAGACCTCCAGCTTGAACATGTTCCCGACGATGATGTGCATGGGCTGGCCCACCTTCCTGCTGTCGTCAATCACCGTCCGCTCCTCATCACATTTCATGGTGCGGAAATGAAAGATCACCTGGTCACCGAGACAGCGCGCTCTGCTCTAGACACCTCTCCAGGTCAGGCAGAAGCCACCTCCCGGCCACCAACTCCCAGGTGTCTTCGGTCAGCTCACTCAGTTCACCCCATCAGATGCCTCACAGCCCCGAAACACCTCCACTCTGCCTGCATCCCCCAGGGATGAGGAGCCCACCCCCTCCCTATGGACCCCATTCCACTCCCCACAGCCCTGACTGTCCGGAAATCCTTCCTCAAATAAGCCCACAGAAACACCCTTGAGACCAGGGAAGCCCAACCCACATTTGGGGACAAATGCCAAGACCCCTGAGGCCCCCTTTTTTCTTTGTCCAGAAAATTCCTAAAAGTCCTTCCCCTCAGCTCATGCTAAAAGTGGAATCTGCAAAGTACCAGAAATGCCCCGTGAAGGCGTAGACGCTGGGAGCTCCCCAGAGGCCCAGGGCTGGGACTGCCTGGATGTTTTGGGGCAAAGCTGAAAGCTGTTTACAGTGCCTTGGGCACACCTGGACCGTGGAAACCTGCTCTGGGGACCCTATCTGCTCCGGAGGGGCCCCACTCACTCGGGATCCGGTGATGAAGTTTGGGAGTTCGCCCGTGCCCCCGTGCAGAATGGTCTTCTTGACCCCTTCCACGTTCAGGAGCAAAGCGGCATCCATGGTTGGAGGAGGAAAAGTTGGAGGAGAAAAGGCGGTGTCCAGCACAGGCTGAGATAATCTCACCTCCGGGGAAGACACTTAGGCGGCTGAGACGCTGGGATTTGCCCAGCCAGTAGGAGTGGCGGGGGAGGGCACACAGTGGAGGCGGTGCCCCAGGCGCCCCGCTTCTCATCAGAGCCTCACGGGTCTGTGGTCTGCAGGCAGCCGTTCCTCCTACCCCATCCACCACTCTTTCCAGTGATTCTGGGTCCCTGCCTGACACATGCCAGGGGTGTGCTAGGCTTGGGTTTTGCTCCCCCTCAAGAAGGAAGAAGGTCCCCCGAGCTTTCTTAAAGAAGTCAGGAAAGGAGGAGTGAGCAGGAGAGGAGCCTGGAGGCCACTGAAGGGGAAAAGGAGGGGAGGCCTGGGCTGAACCCAGACTCTAAGCCCCTGAGGACCCCAGGCCAGGCCGGGCGGCAGCGACCCTTGCCATCCAACCACCTGCCTGCTTTCCCTGTTCCCTCTCCCCTGCCCAGGATCTGCCTTTAGGAGGCCCTGCGATGGTGGCCCAAGGGAAGAGAGGACAGGTTTCTGGCTTGGGAGGGAAGGAAGACAGAGAACAAAAGTCGGAGTGGGTTTGGGTAAAGCTGAGCGCCCTCCCCAGCCCCGCTCCTGCCTCCCCTGCAAGGTCTGGCTGCAGGAGGGTGCGTATTTCCTCCTCTTTGGAGGGTCTTAGCCCTGTGCTCTGGGAACCAGGCAGAGTGCATTCAGGGCATCCCCCACGCCCTTCCAGACTGCCAAACAAAAATGCTAAGACTTGGTGTTTGGCACCATCGTGTGGCCAGTTCAAGCTCCTTCGCCTCCACACCCTGAGGGTGGTGGACTCAGCTCTGCAAAACCGTTCTCTTCCTGACACCAGGCTCACTTGTTGCAGAGGGAAGGGACCCTGCTACAGGGAGAGAGAAAAACACTAGACTATGCCAGGTGTGGTGGCTCATGGCTGTAATCCCAGCACTTTGGGAGCTGTGGTGGATCACCTGAGGTCAGGAGTTCAAGTCCACCCTGGCCAACATGGTGAAACCCCGTCTCCACTAAAAATACAAAAATTAGCCAGGACTGATGGCAGGTGCCTATAATCCCAGCTACTTGGGAGTCAGAGGCAGGAGAATTGCTTGAGCCCAGAAGATGAAGGTTGCTCTGAGCTGAGATCACACCACCACACTGCACTCCAGCCTGGGCGATAGAATGAGACTGTGTCTAAAAAAAAAAAAAAAAAAAAAAACAAGGAGAAGAAGGAAGAAGAAAGGAGAAGAAGGAGGAGGACTGGATTGAGTCAGATACAGCTGAGTTCAAAGGGCTAAACCTTTCCTATTTACTGACCTTGTGGCCTTGGGTGTCTCTCATTTACTCTAACTGCATTTTCCCAATTGAAATGGAAAAATTGACCTCTGCTGCCTCCCTCCCAAGGGAGGTTGAGAGGCTGGCAGCAGTGAATGGGACCCTGAAATCCAGCACCCCTGAAAGTCTTGCCTCCCATGAGGAGTCATTGGCATAGAGTAGACCAAACCTGGGCCAACTGGTCAAGGCCAGGGAACCCTGGCCAGACCCCCAAGGGTCCAGTCTCCATCCCTGGAAGGTGGTAGGCTGCAGAAAACCTTCCCCTCCTCTCTTCCATCCTTTCTCCAGCGACACGGCAACCTAGAAAGGTCTGCATGCATAGGTAAAACGGATACTTAGGAAAAGTAATATAGGAGTTATTCAGAAATAATTTTTAGGCAGACAGTAAGGGCAAAGGTTCTCCAAGGAAATTTCCCTGCAATTAAAAACAACCCTCTAAACCATCTCTTTTCTTTTCTTTTCTTTTTTTGAGACAGAGTCTTACTCTGTCACCCAGGCTGGAGTGCAGTGACATGATCGTGGCTCACTGCAACCTCTGCTTCCTGGGTTCAAGGAATCTCCTGCCTCAGTCTCCCGAGTAGCTGGGATTACAGGTGCACGCCACCATGGCCTGACTAATTTTTGTATTTTTAGTAGAGACAGGGTTTCACCATATTGGCCAGGTTGGTTTCAAACTCCTGACCTCGTGATCCACCTGCCTCAGCCTCCCAAAGTGCTGGGCTTACAGGCGTGAGCCACCTACCCTGCCACCATCTCTTTTCTGACAGAAAAAGGCTGCTTAAAGATCCAGGCTGGCAAGCCTTGATATGCAAATACCAGCCATTAGAAATTGGGTTCACTCATATGGTGATTCCCACTGTCTATTCCTTGTCACCAGGTGTACCAAGTGTCATGGCCACCTCCAGATAACACCATGAGTTCAGAACATCCTGGTGACCTGCATTTGCATATTAAAGAGCTAAGGTGGGAGGGCCAGGTTTTTTTCGGACTATGTAAATGACACACCTAGTCAAACTAATCCCCTGGGCCCTATGGAAACCAGATACCACCTCCTCCTGCCTCCTCAAATAAGCAGCCACTTTTCGCCAAACCGGGTTTTCTCTTTGTTCAAATTCCCCCTCCTTTTGTCTCTGTATGGTGGAGCTATTTTCTTCTTCCTTCTTTCTTTCTTGCCTATTAAACTTTTTGCTCCTTAAAACCATTGCATGTGTGCTCGTGTCGTTAATCCTATTGGTGCAAGACCAAGAACCCTGGAGTTCCTCCAGTCATCAGAGCCGTATCAAAACTACAAAGGAAAATAAAAGTGATAACCCTAAAGTTTAAGGAATGGCCAGCCCAGGTGGCTCACACCTGTAATCCCAGCACTTTGGGAGGCCAAGGCAGGAGGATCACAAGTTTAGGAGATTGAGACCATCCTGGCCAACATGGTGAAACCCTGCCTCTACTAAAAATACAAAAATTAGCCAGGTGTGGTGGCATGCGCCTATAATACCAGCCACTCGGGAGGCTGAGGCAGGGGAATCGCTTGAACCCTGAGGGGCAGAGGGTGCAGTGAGCTGAGATCTCCCCACTGCACTCCAGCCTGACAACAGAGGGAGGCTCCCTCATCTAAAAAAAAAAAAAAATCTAAGGAGAGAGGGAGAACACACTTGTCACTTGCAGGTGTCAAGTGTCTGCTTCTGGGATACTGGCAATGTTCACCCTTGACCTAGGTGATGGTTTCATGGGTGTTGGCTTTATAAGTACAGTAAGTTCTCACTTAATATCCTTTTAGGTTCTTGCAAACTGCAGTTGGAAGTGAAAGGACATACACCAGGTCTTCAAATAACATCATTTCAATCAACGTCATCATTTCGTTATAATGTTGATGAGAAAAAAAATGTGGTTTCCTTATAGGTAATTTCATTTAAAGTCGGTTTTCAAACATCTGTTGACAACATTAAGAACTCACTGTATTCACTGCACTAGATTTTGTCTTAGGCAGTTTTCTATTGGTGATATAATTCGCAGTGGGAGAAAAAGATCCAGTCGCGTCTCTTCTCACCTTCTTAAGACTCTCCCACTGTTTCAGTTGCTTCCCTTTGTAGAGGGTCAAAGGGCACACACACAAGGCAGAGATGTTAAAAGAGTGGAACTGACAGTCGTAGCCTGTGGTTGACCAGGGGAGGTGGGGGAGAGAAGAAAAGGGGATGTTGAAGCTGATGCCAGGGGGGTTAATTTCCCTGCTGAGAAGAATGAGGATTCACTCCAGGTCTGTGCCTGGGCTTGGGCCACAGGGTTCAGACTGATGCTCCAGAAACCCTTTGGCCCCAGTCTTAATTCATTTTTTGTTATTATAACTGAACACCACAGACTGCATAATTTATTTTTTTTTTTTAAAAAGACATTTATGTAGCTCATGGTTCTGGAGGCTGCGAAATCCAAGAGCATGGTGTTGGCATCTGGTGAGGACCTTCTTACTGCATCATAGCACAGTGGGAGGCATCACACAGTGAGAGGACAAGAGCATGCACAATGGCTCAGGTCTCTCTACCTCTTCTTGTAAAGCCACCAATCCTATCATGGGCCCTACCCTGATGATGTTATTTCATCCTAATTACCCTCCAAAGACCCCACCCATAATGTCATCCACATATGAATGAGGATTCAGTTTCCAACAAATGAGCCGAGATCATGCCATTGCACTCTGGCCTGGGCAATAAGAGCAAAACTCCATCTAAACAACAACAACAACAACAAAAAAAAAAAAGCAGCTCCAAAACCAGTCTCCTCATGGACTTTATTAACATGCCACTCCAGTAATCTACGGCCCTCTTAAAATTCAGAAAAAAGTTACTACCACCTTCAGCACAAATTTTAAACTCCCTCTCTGGCCTACAGACCCTGTCTCTTGCCACCCTATCCCGTACCCTCAGCCCCTGATCTCAGCCCAACCCTTTTTGCCCAGGCTTTCCCCAGTCCTAACACTTGACAATGCTCCAGACTCCCAACAGTGGCCCACTAGCTCTTCACTTAAAACACCACACATTCAGCGAAGACGACCCTGACCTCCAGCTCCAGTCACTTTCTCCATCTCCCTTATGCCCTCTCAATTCTCCCTAGCACTTCACATTCATGGTATTTTCCACAATTGTAACTGTTTACAATGATGTGTTTAATTTCTATGTCTTCCACCAAATTGACAGTTCCAAGAAGTCAAGGAAACTGGTGGAATCTTTGCTTTTGGACAAAGAGCCCCTGGAGAGCAGGGCTGGAGCTCCTCCTTCATCCCTGTCCCCAACAGAGGCAAGGGTGATGCTGGATTAAGCCTCTGCTAGGAACAAGTGATTAATTTTTCTCCTTATCAAGAACAGAAACCCCTGTACCAACGTCTGGACTAGGAGCCTGCTTCCCCTGAGTACAGCCTCCTTCCCTCCCTCCAGTCACTACTCCATGGAAGGCAAAAGGGAAAAGCTTCTCATTCAGAAGAAAATGTTTCTTCCCCCTTTACTTGTTGCCATGGAGACTGCTCTTCATTAACCTGGCCTGCCAGTTACCATTCTGAGTGAGGGAAGAGGGTGGAAAGCTCCAAGCAGGGAGGGTGTCTTTATGCACGCATGCATTCATTGTTTCATCCCAGATACTCAATGAAGCTATGTCATCTAAGGGTAAGAATTCAGGATTTGAAGTCAGACACTGGATTTACGCTCCAGTCCTGATATTCCACACAATCTTGGACCAGATATTTCACCTAGCTGCACCTCACTTTTGTCACCTGTAATGGAAATAAAAATAGTACCTACTTCATAGAA